ACGATACATATCGGAAGAGATAGCGAAGCTCGGGAAAGGGAATATAAGCGCTCAGATCTTCACGTTCCGGGAGCTTTGCTCCGCAACGAAGAATTTCAATCCCGATAATCAGCTCGGTGAAGGCGGGTTCGGAAGAGTTTACAAAGGGCGTATAGAGAGCCTGAACAAAGTATAATACACCACAACTTACTTCTTCTTCTTCTTTCTTTGTGTTTTTTCTCTTTTCCGTTCGTCGTGGTTTGATGACTTGTAACGTACGTTATCATTATCGGTTATCGTGTTTAGGTCGTTGCGGTTAAGCAGCTCGATAGAAATGGTTACCAAGGGAACCGAGAATTCCTCGTGGAGGTTCTGATGTTAAGTCTTCTTCACCACGATAACCTCGTCAACTTGGTTGGGTATTGTGCGGACGGTGATCAGAGGATTCTTGTCTACGAGTTCATGCCGAATGGCTCATTGGAGGATCATCTTCTCGGTATGCATTAATGGCTTGCGCGGATCGATATACTTGCGTGTGTATATACGGCATTCTGATCTCGATCCAACCGATGTTTCACAGATCTGACGCCTAAGAAGAAGCCGCTGGATTGGAACACGAGGATGAAAATAGCGGCAGGAGCAGCGAAAGGGCTCGAGTATTTACACGAAATGGCTGATCCACCGGTGATATACCGAGATTTCAAGGCATCAAACATATTGTTGGACGAAGGGTTCAATCCAAAGCTATCGGATTTCGGGTTGGCTAAGCTCGGTCCGACCGGAGGGAAAACTCACGTGTCCACGAGAGTGATGGGGACTTACGGCTATTGTGCGCCTGAGTACGCACTGACAGGACAGCTAACTCACAAATCCGATGTCTATAGCTTCGGAGTTGTGTTCTTGGAGATGATCACTGGAAGAAGAGTCATCGACACTACAAGATCAACCGAAGAACAGAATCTTGTCACTTGGGTATGTCAAGATCGATCTTGATGTTTTTCCCCCTTAATGAGAACTGGATTTGACCGTTCCATGATTTTTTTTTTCTGGGTTAACTTCTGTTTCTCTTTGTCTGATTCAGGCAACTCCATTGTTCAAAGACAGGAGGAAGTTCACGTTAATGGCGGATCCGTTATTAGAAGGCAACTACCCATTGAAAGGACTGTACCAAGCACTTGCAGTTGCAGCGATGTGCCTTCAAGAAGAAGCAACCACAAGGCCCATCATGAGCGATGTAGTGACTGCTCTCGAGCACTTAGCCATGAACAAAGATCCGAACGGACAAACCCTAGAAGATAATGTGTCTAATGAAGTGAACGACGAGGGGAACGAGACTAAAGCCGGAGAAGAAGAAGGACAGTGATAGATGATGTGGTGTTCATATAAATCATAAGAATATAGGAAGAAAAAAAAAATCAATCTTTGTGGACCGACAATATGAGATTTCTTTTTATTTTTTGGTTCATGAAATCTTTATATTGTTCTTATCATGCATATAATGGATTTGCTAAGACCATTTTTTTTTCTCTGATGATTAGTAGGGCCTTTTTTACTTGGTACTGCACAATTATTGCATTTTAAAAAAAATGCTAATTTATTTTAGTAATAAATTATTTGAAGGTATTTTTATCTCCATACGAAAAAAATTATAATTGAACTTGAATAATCTGTAGAAAAAGACCAGTTTGATTTCGCAGTTAATTTGAAAATAATCTATTCATACTTCGTTTATAAAATGTAATGGTTAATATATATATATATATATATTAACAGAGAAAATGACGATAGGCTGTAAAACGTTTTAGGTCCCAAATATATAAAAAATTAAAATTATCAAAAAACAAATTAAATTTTTTGTGTGGAAATATAAAATAACGAGTCTTTTCAAGAAAATATGTAAAACGTTCAGAAAAAAAAGATAAACTAAATTTTGGTTAAGCAAAACATGGATATGATAAAACAATATATATTTGTTGTTAAAAAATCTTTAATAGATCGATCATAATATTTCTGTTACTGGAAAATTTTAAATGTTTTTTATTAATTATAAAACTAAAAGAAGGAATGATTATATACTTTTTCCATATAATTATTTTTTATATTTATTAATATGTTGGCAATGTCTTGTTCCCTCTTTCTCCTCTGCAAAAAGAATAAAAAGAAAAAAAAAACATTTCTATAAAACACGAAAACAAAGGAAAAATAAGGGTTTTAGCCTCTGAGGCCGTCTCTGTGTCATCGTGTCGTCGGGTAATGGCCACGCTCTGTTCTTTTCCTTCTCAGACAACAGACCCACTTGCTTCTTCTTCTTCATCCACTCGGTGATTCCCAAAATCTTCGCTGTAAAACCTAATTTATCTCACATTCTACCGCCCAGAACCCGTCCTTATTATAGCGGCAAAAAGTTCACACCTTTCAAGCTGGGTAGAGTAGCTTCGCTTATGGCCATGGGGGTTTCTCTTACCTCCCACAATAACCCTCTTCGGCACTTTTCTCCTTCTTCTTCTTCCTGGGTCTCGCGTTCTTATCGCTTATCTTCTTCTGTTGTCCCTTCGTTTCTTCTGCCTCGCCGTAGAGCCCTTCCAAGGTATGCTACCCTTTTTGCTCTTTTTGTTGAATTTCTGTTAATGGGTCTGTGGAGAAATGAGTTTATTACCTGTTGGTTGCTCTGTCTTGTAATTATTAGTTGAGCTACTGTTGAAGATGTAGAAACCTTTCCTGGGAATATATTGTTTTTGGGTTTTTGTCTGTTGGTTAGACTAGTTTGGTTGAAGATGTATACTGGTTTGGTTTCAGTATGCAGATTCTGCATATTCTTTGGTTAAGTTCTTGTTTAGTAGATTAATGCATTAGATTTCAGTTGGCAATTCGCGATTTTGACTTTGTTTTTGTGATAATAACCAAACCCCGATTACGTTGCTGGTTTCCTTGGAAGAAGTTGTTTTGGGTTTTAGTTTGGTATTTCGACTAATTTTTTCTTGGTGGTTTGGTTTTAGTATGTAGAATCCATCTCTTCTTTAGTTAAGTTCTTGTTTAGTAGAGTAATGTACAAGTTATGAGTTGGTAATTCAAGATTTTGAGTTATTTTTGTTTTCCGTGATAACAATGAAATGGTGACAATAACTTGCAGGAAAGCAACTTTCACAAAGAGAAATGTTTCCTACTCAACGGTTACAGTTTGTGGTAGTTCCCATGGGTTTCAGCACTCGGGTCATCAGCGGTCCTCTTCTGTAAATTTTAATGGAGAGTGGAAGCTTCGTTCGGGGGCTAACATGGCAAGGATGGTTCCACCATTTATGGTAGGCAACCAGCAGGAAGTAGGTGAAGGTGCGAAACAAGTTTCTGGGGGTCTAAGCGCTTGGAGGAAGGAAGCAAACAAGTATAGAGAAAGAAATGGAGAATATACTGTAGCCAACAACATGGCGTTTCAGGACGAAGGCTATTATTTCAAAGGGTTTGTCGCAAAAATAGATGATGTTCCATCATACGATGGAAAATCCGGGGAGTTTGGTTATGAACTCAGTTGCAGAGGTAATGTTACGACATTAGACAGAGAAATGAATGGTGTTAAGCAGCAGAGGATTTCTTCGGGATCTGTCATAAATGTCCGTCCTCCTGGTCAATTGCCAAGAAAAAATTTTGAGATCAGGGCAGATACAGATGTCAAACTTAAAGTAGATAAGGATGTCCGTAACAGACAAGGATTTGTTAATGCTGACAAGCCCGCTGGTAGTGCCATTGACGAGAATAAATCCGCTGCTCCCAAAGTGGAAAGATGTGTTGATCAGTTTGAGGCTCGTGCAAAGCTGAGGAAAATATATGATAGAGTTCTTGTCGTTGATAACGTGCCCACTGCAAAGAGTGTTGTGGCAAAGCTCATGAATCAGTATCGGAATTTTGTCCATGCTTGTGATACAGAGGTGAGTGGACCACTTTTAATTCTTGTTGTTTTCTGATACATTGAAACACCCACAAATCTGAAATGCTTATGCAAATAGTTGGATGTTTGTGAATTTAAATGATTTGGCTGCTCTTATAATCATAGCTTCGCTCTGTGACTATTTTTTTTATAGGTTGATGGGATTGACGTGAAGGATGAAACGCCCGTTGATCATGGTGAGTTGACATGTTTCAGCCTTTATTGCGGAGCAGGAGCAGATTTTGGAAATGGAAAATCGTGCCTATGGGTAGATGTTCTTGGTGACAATGGCAGGGATGTCTTGGACGAGTTCAAACCATTTTTTCAAGACTCGTCCATCAGAAAAGTGGGTTTGGTTACCTTCTTCTCCTGATAATGTCTGTCTTTCTTCGTATTTTGCAAATATCTACCTCTCATGGCTCGATAAATCTTTTTTGTTTGTTTTTTCTCTTGAAGATAATTTGCCACTGTTTCACTGCCCTTATGTTTTGTTTAAGTTGGATGCCTTTATAGTTTCGAAATTCTAATTTTGTAAATGAAATGCTGATTGGCCTCGTTTTTTTAAATCTAGGTTTGGCACAACTACAGCTTTGATAGCCACATTATCGGGAATTATGGAATCAAACTATCTGGTTTTCATGCGGATACAATGCACATGGCACGCTTGTGGGATTCATCAAGACGGACAGAGGGTGGATATTCACTCGAGGCACTTACAAGTGATCCGAAAGTTCTTCAGGGCGCTGTGAAGGGGGAGGAAGCCGAACTGCTCGGTAAAATATCGATGAAAACTATTTTTGGAAAGAGAAAACTGAAAAAGGATGGATCTGAAGGGAAAATGGTCATCATTCCTCCAGTTGAAGAGCTACAACGAGAAGACCGAGAGGCTTGGGTTTCATACTCCGCATTAGATGCAATAAGCACACTTAAGCTTTACGAGAGCTTGAAAAACCAACTGCAAGGGAAGCAATGGTTCCTCGACGGGAAACTAATACCGGGGAAGTCGATGCTCGACTTTTACCAAGAATTTTGGAGACCTTTCGGTGAACTTCTGGTCAAAATGGAAGCAGAAGGGATGCTTGTAGACAGGGAATATCTAGCGGTGATGGAAAAAGTGGCAAAGGCGGAACAAGAAACTGCGGTGGGTAGATTCCGCAATTGGGCCTCTAAGCATTGTCCTGATGCAAAGTATATGAATGTTGGCAGCGATACGCAGTTGCGCCAAATCTTCTTCGGAGGCATTTCTAACGTGTATCTTTCCGCAACCATCCTCTTGCTTGCTTCACCTTTATCATTGTTATTATTATCATTTCTTTCGAAATGGACAATATCTTACATGGTGCTGAGAAAAGGGAATTAACATGATCAATCTCTCAGTACCATGTATTTTTTGGCTGGCTGCTGAATTATGTTTATTTCTGTTGCAGTAAGGACCATAACGAAGCGCTGCCAGTTGAAAAACTTTTCAAGATCCCCAATGTTGATAAAATAATCGAAGAAGGCAAAAAAGCGCCAACGAAGTTCCGCAATATAAAGCTTCACAGGATCAGTGATAGACCGTTGCCCACCGAAATGTTTACGGCTACTGGTTGGCCATCGGTTAGTGGGGATGCTTTGAAAGCCTTAGCAGGGAAAGTCTCTGCGGAATACGATTTTGTGGATGATGTTTCGGGTACATCTCTAGACGAAAACGATGAAAATGATGATACTACAGAGCTACGTAATGAAACTTCAGTAACACAAAAGTCGAATATGTCAAATGAAACCGACACATCGGCTTATGGGACGGCGTTTGCGGCTTTCGGGGGAGGCGAAAGGGGAAAGGAAGCATGCCATGCCATTGCTTCGTTATGTGAAGTTTGTTCCATTGATTCATTGATCTCAAATTTCATTCTCCCGCTACAGGTAAGGCTTTCTCTAAATACCCTTTTAACCCTCCCAAATTTCAGCCCCCGATATTTTTGCAGAAGTTTCATTCTTCGGGTTTAATGTATATGGAATTACTTCTACCTACAGGGAAGTAATGTATCGGGCAAGGATGGTCGTGTCCACTGTTCCCTGAATATCAACACAGAGACGGGACGCTTATCGGCAAGAAGGCCGAATTTGCAGGTATTTTGTTTTGCCATCAAACACTGAAATGACAGACCGACATCGAGAAATTTCGTGATCTTGCTTCATTTCGACATGCCTTGAAACTAAATTCAAGACTTAGACTTGGATTGAACTGATGCCACTTGTGTAAAATCGAGATAGCGTACTTGTTCTCTTATGGTTATGATACTGGAAACTGCTAAAAGAGAGACATTTGCTTCCAAATTTTCTGATGATGTTCCTCAAGTCGTGTTGGAAATAATACGATTAATGATCGAACCTCTTACTAGTCTCCAAATAACGTAAAGTGCTTAGAATCTGTTTCAAGTGTTTTTGGTTTTGCCTTGCTAGAATCAACCCGCTTTAGAGAAGGACCGGTACAAGATCCGTCAGGCCTTCATAGCTTCACCCGGAAACTCGCTTATCGTCGCTGATTATGGGCAGGTGAATATATTTGCGTTTTTTCTTCGGGTAGAAAGCTTTGCAACATCTAAGAAGCTGGTCGTTTTTATTCGTACTACAATGTTGTGTTTATATTTTGCAGTTGGAACTTCGGATTTTAGCACATCTTGCTGGTTGCAAAAGTATGATGGAAGCTTTCGAAGCCGGCGGAGATTTTCACTCGAGAACAGCCATGAATATGTATCCGCACATCCGTGAGGCTGTGGAAAACGGGCAAGTTATCCTCGAATGGCATCCCCAACCTGGTGAAGACAAGCCTCCCGTGCCATTGTTGAAGGTGAATTCCGTTTCATGTCGTGAAAGTAGACTAGAAAAACCATCGGTTCGCATATTCCCATTGTTTGAGATGGAAAAGATTCGAAATTGGAACTCTGAATTCCGCAGAACTAAGATCGCAACGGTTGAAGAAACCAGATTTTTGTGATCTGAGTTCTAACGGTTTTGAACTTTTCGTAGGATGCCTTTGGCGCGGAGCGAAGAAAAGCTAAGATGCTCAACTTCTCTATTGCATACGGGAAGACGGCAATGGGCCTCTCTAGAGATTGGAAGGTAACGTTTTCTCGGTCGAATCAAGCTTTTAAGCCAGTGTGAACTTTGCCCGACACGATGCCAAAGCCGTCATTGTTTTCAGGTTTCTGTGGAAGAAGCTCAGGAGACGGTTAACCTGTGGTATAACGACAGACAAGAAGTTCGGAAATGGCAGGAAAAGCGAAAGAAAGAAGCTATCGATGACGGGTATGTACTCACATTGTTGGGAAGGGCTCGTAAATTCCCTACATATCGATCGCGCGCTCAAAGGAATCATATTGAGCGGGCAGCGATCAACACACCCGTGCAGGTGCGTGTGTACATACGATTCTCATCCCGAGATCTAAAATCATCTCTTTCTCTCTCGGGTTAATCTCAAACTTTTAAGCAAAACCGTTTCAGGGAAGTGCGGCCGATGTCGCCATGTGTGCAATGCTGGAAATATCGAAGAATCAACGTTTGAAAGAACTCGGCTGGAGGCTGCTTCTACAGGTAATAATACATACACCCTTGGTGTCCTGTATTTCTCGGCTTTCGAACTTGCAGAAACCACGAAAACCCGGCCCGAGCATGATCTTTGAATCGCTACACTCTTTCGGACACAGGTTCATGATGAAGTAATCTTGGAAGGACCGAGCGAATCAGCAGAGATTGCGAAGGACATAGTTGTGGACTGTATGTCGAAACCCTTCAACGGGAAGAACATTCTGGACGTCGAGTTATCCGTCGATGCTAAGTGCGCTTGGAACTGGTACGCTGCAAAATAAGCAGAGGGGTACAGAACTATAGTCCGTATGGAAGTTTTCCCACTCGGGTTTTTGGTAGAAACCTGCGTTTTCTGCGATGAGTTTGGGGCGATGTCGAGAACTGCGTTTCAAACCGCGAGTCCTGCGTTTCGGTTACCGACCCCCTTCGGCTCGTAGGCATGTAGAAATCTTCTCCTGCTCTTCAGCTTTTGCTTTGTTTAACCTCTTTCTTACAAGAATTTGTTGAAACTGAGCTGTATAAAATGAATCTCTCAACCTTAGCTTCTCACCGTGCTGTAAAATCGACATTGTAACTCGCAAATGTGTGAAAGAAACTGGTTTTCTTTACTTTCAAATCATTGATCATTGAGTTAGTTCATATACAAATGTAATAACCAAGCCCCCTTTCTCTTCTTGGAGAGATTCTCCCCAAGAATACTGGTATTGGTTTGGTTTACCTTCAATACCAAGAGAGGTACAGAGCAATGGAAGCAGTAGAAAGTGTTTCAGAGGTTGAGCCAAGCTGCCTTAGTCGAAATGTTGAAGCTCGATTCTCCAGTTTGATGCTAACTGCACGAGAAGATCGTCGGGTGGTAGACCTTCCCAGTCGTCGGAAGGATCTATCGTTGAGGAGGCTTCGTATAAATTCAACAGAAGATCCTTCTTCAGCTCCATGGGAATGTCCAAGAAGTCCGGTCCGTTTTCTGCTACCAATTCCAGCAGCTGCAGGGCATAGAGACGAAACAATGAGACTTATTTACGCATAGAGAAGGTAGAAAACAAAAACAAACTTCCATTAACGTATCCATGAAGATCTTCCACGGATACCTGTTGAATCCAAGACAGGCAGATTTCAAAGAGATTCAGATCATCCAGCAGAAGCTGCCCAATTGCATGGAGAGCTTCGTTTCCTACGTCATTGGACAGCTGATCAAGAGCAGGACCACTTCTTTCCATTAGTTTGACGAGCAAATGATCATCTCCAGTTGAGAAAACTTCGGCAAATGCAGAATCTGTATCACCCACTTGGAGTGAATGCATTGCGTTGTTCCAAGATGTCCAGACAGGGTCTTCCTCTTTATCTTCTTCAGTCCCATCTGCTTCGGGAATAGGGTCTTGTCTCGTGATTGATGTCTGACTGTCTTCCCCAGCAACCCGTATAGCTTCAAGAGTAGCTTCATCTTTTGACGCTTTCCAGATACTCCTAGCAGACGGTCCCTCACCGAGCCTGACAAATCCAGGGCCTTTGTCCCATGCTCTCCTCCTGCTACCTGTATGGTCACCGCTAGTTTCAGATTTGGACAACCTGGTATCTGTAGAACCACTGCCTCGAGATCTTCTTGTGCCCGTCTGACCGTTTCTTGAAGCTCCATATTGAGGATAATCCAATCCATCTAAGTCGGATCTCCAGGATGCAGCCCTTCTTCCACTCACACCTGAAACAATCACTGAAATTTAGTGATATCTTTCTTCAGAAGGGATGTCTGGAACTAGCACTAGAATAGCAAGGAAAGCTGTATGCTTGCCTGATGATATGGAGAAATCTCTTGCCATCTCTTCGATGATTCTCTCAAGATCCCTAACACGGTTCTCCAAATTTATCATGCCATCGTGTGAACCACCCATGAAATCCTGCAACAAGTACATTTAGTTGTAAAATTAATTATAAGTGGACCGTTTTTTATTCAATATCGAAAAGTACCTGCAACATGTTCATTATATGCGTCTGTTGTCTCTCTAAGTTCAGTAATTGCCTTTGTAGAGAAAACCAGCTCCCTCCATTATTAATCAAGGATCCTTCATATTGGTTATCTTTCAAGGAAACTCCAGCATGATTTCCAGATACCTCTAGTCGGCTTCCATCATTCTGATCGCCATCAAACGCCCTAATCCGGGACTCCCCTCCATTCATCCTTTCATCTACCCATTTCTCTCTTGCAAAATCTCCAAAATATCGTTGTTTGGGACCCACACCGTCTGTTCCTGTTTCACCTAATATTATTGGCCTTCCTCTCAAGCCCGAGTTACTGGCTTCGGATTCATCCTCTTTTGAGTTTGGCGACTTCTTATGCGCACGAGGAAGAACGACTTCAACTGGCAAATCTCCAGAACCGTTTTTTTCCAGCTTCTTGAAAAAGTCTGGGTTAAGATCTTTGTCATTCAATCGAGGTGCTTTCTTCCTTAGGATGAGAACAACTTTTTCTGGAATGGCCCCTGTTTTAACTTTTGACATATAATCCGAATGATAGCCCGGCTGATCAGAAGAGCCTTTTATCGTGCTTGATGCAGATTCTCCATTCGTTTCCAACTTAGATTGCTCAGATAACACATCTTTTTGGATAACAAACGTACCATTTTCGCTTGTCCCAGCAATGTTTTTCCAGGCATTCAGTGCCTCGGTCAAGCTGTCTCTGACAGGTTTTATCTGCAAGCCAAAGATATTATAGCCATGATTAGAACTATGCAAAAAAATATATATATCATTAAGATTCCTATTCAGTAATTCTTGAGTAGTATTGAATCTACTAATATACAAATCCCAAATCCATCTGTACCAACATAGTTCTGTTCTAAGAAATGCTAGTTTTCTATCCAATATCAGAACAAAACTTTCCCTCTAATCTGCATGTTCTTTCTGTTGACCGGCAAATATACAATTAACTGAACATTTACTATGTAATCTATCGGCTTTTTTTCATCTTTTTTCCCTTCAAAGATGCAAAAACTGCAGCAATGTTTCTCAAGCTCTCAGCTAAAGAGATTTATGCCAAAGTTACGGTCCTAGTTTTTTCAGAAAAGAAACGATAACAGCAGTACCTTATCAAAACGGCATGCCTCAAGAACGGTGATAGTGGAATCGGTTTTATCAGCGATCAAAGTGCTACAGTGCATAGCCAAGGCGATCAAGGCATCGGCAGCTGCCTTACGAGTAACCCAATCTGTACTTCCAAGGCATTCATGGATGCTCTGTAACAATGACTCCAAGCTCTGTGGTGCAATAGCTCCCACCTGCAAGATGTCCATAGCTCATTTTGATATCTATATATATTTAAGAAAATTGAGCAGATTAAGATGTCTACTGATCACGGTATGCAGGTTAAGTTAGAGACTGAGACTTGCAATTCAGCCACTTAAAGAAGCCATCACTACTCAAGTCAGCTGTCAGCCTGAGCTATGACCCTCAGAAATCGGGCAGCCAACTAGTAGTCCTCAGTGATGATCACACATGTCACAGTTCAATATGTTTTCACTTCGAGATTAGCCCTAACCCATCAAACTTAAGCACAGAAATCACTTTAATCAGCTATACTACCTAACCAAAGAGCCCCCCTTGAGAAAAATATGGTTAAGCATATAAATCCAATAAGTAGAAACCAGACACAGGCCACAAACAAAACATTCAGCTGATCATTGAAACATTCCTACTAATCAATAATCATATTCTTCTGGCAAAACTATCCAAGTAAAGCAAGGCATTGTACTTTGTAGAACCAAGCACAAGACCAACCACATTGTTCAAGAATCAAACCTGAGACAAATTTCCGACCACCGGCAAGAGGGAAGACTTGGTCAAGTAATTAGGGCTGTTCAAGAGCTTGCAAATCCTAGGACACAGCTTTTGAAATGCCGGAACAGGAGGTTCGGCAGCTGATTCCACCATCTTCGCCATGCAAATCGCAGCACCAGCTTGCAAGCTCTTGTTCTGCTCGGCCATGGCCTCGAACAGGGGCTTAGCAAACAAACCCACCAACGCTCCAGCCCCGCCGCCATTTCCGTCCTCCTCCTCCCTCAGGAACTGAGCCGAGAGCGACCCGATCGCGTCCCGACAGGCGTCTCGGACGACGGGGTCGGCATCTTTGAGACGCTTGACGATGTGAGCAATGATTTTGGCGAGTTGGGCGGAGGTGAGATCGCGGTGGGAGAGGCATAGGAAGGAGAGGAGGCGGAGAGATTCCTTCTTCACGGCGGGTTTGGAATCGGAAGAGAAGTCGAAGAGGCAATTGAGGAAAACCTGTAGGGTTTCGGGAGTGACGGAGACGATGACCTTCTCGAGATCGTCGACAGCGATCTGGTAAGTGTCGCGATCTCCGAGCCTTGACAGAGATGTAAGAATCCTCTGCTTCAGCTCTACCATCGCCAAGTGCGACGACACGGCGCCATTGGAGGATCTGGATGAAGGTTTTGTGGATTTCGAGGGCTTCACAGCGACTTGCGAGCTCATTGCAGCGGACAGAGAAAACGATTATGTGCTAAAGATCAGATTTTGCGAGAGAGAGAGATCGGAACGAGGGTTTTCTAAATGTGTTTCAGAGCTTCGTCGGTCATGAGAGATGGCGACGGCTGATTCCCAGATTTTGTAGACCGACCAGAATCTGGGGTTCAAGAAGAATCGGAAAAGCCACCGAAGTTCAGTTTCCGATCATTGTTCATGGGAAGAACGAACATGACACAATTCTTCAATCTGGGTTATTTAGCGAGGTGGAAACCACGTTTCCGCCATGAACGCGATGGTGGGAGGTTTTATTTAAAGATGGTTTCAGTTACGAGAGTTGTTCTTCGCAACAGCAAATGAATTAACATTGTTTAATTTTTTTTATTTATAGAAGTGGGACACTGATTACGTTTGTTGTGTATTATAATCTATATGTAATAATTCAAATCAACCTCAATTAACAATTATATCAAAATGGAATTCAATTCAGACTGATCGATAGAAGAAAACCATTCAAATCCGGTCAAGACCGGTTTGCTCTATCAAGAAACCTCCCTCGAAAATCTGCAGATATTTTTCTTCGCAGAGAAGAAGAAACAGACAACAATGGCTTCAATCTCATGCACAGCTCCTTTCACGAGCTCACTCTTCTCTCACAAACCCATCATAAGAAATTACACTCCTTCCACGAAGCTCTCTTCTGGTTATCTGTCGCCCCGGATCCGACTCGCCCGACTCGGACCCTCAAATGGGTCGACAGCCACTTGCTGGTTCAAACGGTGTCGATTTCTAGGTCAAGGATGAGGACGGGAGAACTGCATTAGACCGAGCCAACAGTGACGAGATCCGTGACTTCATCCTCGGTTTCTCGGCTAAGAAGTCTTGACCTGGTTTTTGCTCAAGCTTCAGCATTATGTGATGATCATATTTGATGTCTCAACTCTTTAATGGCAGTGGTAAAGAGTTATACTTACAGGGAACAAACTGTCTTTTCCAGTTCCACGGGTCGTTGCTCCAAGCCTCCATCCATATGGAGAGCTGCTGGTTCATTGTGTGCATGAAGTGGGGCAAACCCTTGACTTTCATTACTTGACAAGTATAAATCTCAGAATCAGAATCTAGCCTTTCACTTTGTGTTGAGATTGGTGGTTCTTCTGCTCCATTTTGCTAGTAGTATCCCTCTGCCTTTCATCTCGTCCAACAGAAACATACCTTTTTGATCATCTCAGGCACAGAATCATTGACAAGCTTCTAAGAGAAACTTTCTGTCTCTTCCGTGTGATCGCCCAGAAGGGCAAGACATTCATAAATCTTCTCAGCCTTTGGATGAGATGTGGCCTCAGCAAAGAAGGGCCATACTTGTCGATCAATCTCAATCCAACTGCAGCCCGGTTTCTTCTGCAGTCCAAGTTCTTTCATCTTCCATCTTACTTGCCTCACTTCATCCCATCTCCCACCAGAAGCATATAGATTGGACAAAACAATGTAATTCGATGCATCGTTTGGGTCCTTGTCCACAAGCAATCTTGCGATTTTCTCTCCCAACTGATGGTTATGGTGCAAGCAACAGGCAGAGAAGAGAGTGCTCAGTAGCCGGGCATTCTCTCTCATCTCTGGATTCTCTTGCAGAACTTCGTAAGCTTCAGGCAAACGCCCGGCTCGTCCCAAGAGATCAATCAAGCATGAGTAATGTTCAATACCCGGTATAATTCCATATTCATTTCTCATCTGACTGAAACACTTGAGACCATCATCAACTAACCCACCATGACCACATGCTGATAACACTGCAAGAAATGTTACTCTGTCTGGTTTTGCACCAAGTTTCTGCATTTCATCAAAAAGCTTCAGGGCTTCTGTGGCTTTGCCGTGAGATCCATATGCAGCTATCATTGCAGTCCAAGAAATAACATCTTTCTTTGGCAAATCGTAGAAGATTCTAGATGCTTCTATCACATCACCGCATTTAGAATACATGTCAAGAAGAGCACCCATCACCAACTCGTCTATTTCGAGCTTGTTCTCACTGATGGACAAGTGAATCTCCTTGCCCTTCTCGAGTGCAGCCAGTTGTGAACAAGCAGGTAAGACTGCAAGAAATGTTACCCTGTCTGGTTTGGCACCAACTCTCTGCATTTCATCAAAAAGCTTCAGAGCTTCTGTAGCTTCGCCGTGAGATCCATACGCAGCTATCATTGCAGTCCAAGAGACAGTATCTTTCTTCGGCAAACAGTAAAAAATTCTAGATGCTTCTTTCAAGTCGCCGCATTTAGAGTACATGTCAAGAAGAGCACTCATCACCAACTCATCTCTTTCGAGTTTGTTCTCATTGATGGACAAGTGAATCTCCTTTCCCTTCTCGAGTGCAGCCAGCTGAGAACAAGCGGGTAAGACACTCGTGAAAGTCACGACATCTGGGTTCACACCAGCAGCTGCCATTTTGTCGTACACTGCAAGAGCCTCAAACCACATGCCCAAACCGACATACCCGGAGATCATAACATTCCATGTAGCAACAAACGTCTTCTGAGTGTTCACAAACATTGTCTCAGCCAGCTTCACTTTGCTACATTTGAAGTAAAGATCGATAAGGGAGCATTCTATAAAGAAATCTGCATCTACTACATTCCTGATCAAGTATCCGTGTAAAAATTTTCCATGTCGAAGATTAGATGAACGAGAACAGGCCATCAGAATGCTGGTTAAGGTTGTCTCACTCGGCCGTGTTTCTTCTATTACCATTCTATTCAGAAGCACAATGCATGACTGGCTATCGCCTCTTGGGGCATAGCCTTGGATCATCAAATTCCAGGCGACCACGTTCTTTCTTGGCATGTGTTCAAAAATCTCTCTAGCCATCTCCAAGCAGCCACATTTCCCATACATGTCGACAAGAGCAGAGCTTACATACTCATCCGAGACGAGTCCTTTATTCACACATTCTCTGTGAATCTCCTTCCCTCTCTCCAAATCCAATATCCTAGAACATGCCGAGATGGCTAAGGTTAGTGTCACTGAATTCGGTTCAAAGCCACAGCCTTTCATTCTACCAAACAACTCCAGAGCCTTCTCTGCCTCCCCGCTTTGATAACAACACGATATAACCGTGTTCCAAGACGCTACATCTCTCTCAGTCATTTCGTCGAACATTTGGACTGCCCACTCGAACAAGTTACACTTCGCGTACATGCCGACCAGAGAACTAGCCACCACAACATCACATAGATGCCCGTTTCTCACCAAAAGACCATGAACCATTCTACCGTAGCGCTCCTTACTGATGGCGCCACAAGCCTTCAACACTTTCGGGTATGTGTAAGAATCAGCCATGCGAAAAGGGTACTGCGACAATCTCCCGAAAACCTCAAGAGCTTCATGGAACATGGAGTTGTTCGTGTAACCAAACATGAGGGAGTTCCACAAGGAGATCTCCAATGGATTGTCAAGGGTTTCAAAGACATGTCTTGCGGAACCGTGGTCCTTACAGGAGAAGTAGCCATTGATGAGGCTTTTGCAGATAACAACCTTGGTTTGCAACCCGAGTGCGAGGATTCTCTGGTGAGCTTGTTTCAAGAACTTGGAGTTCTTACATGTTCTTAATAGCGACGACAACGTTGAAATGTCCATTTCAACTTGAACAAAGTGTAAGTTATATGTATATATATATATATATAATGACAATAGCATTCACCAGAGGAACTGCAATGGCGTAACAAAGAAGCGAAAGAAGGAGAGGCATCGTCGGCCGGTGGTGACTTGGAAGACACGGCTTCTTCTCCTTCTAACAGTTTTTTGTAAATACAAACCGTCAAAACTGGATAAAATACGGTAATAAAACAATATTTGATAATCGAATTTTTACGGAGGAAATTGTGAAGAAAAGAAATGATGTCCAATTTAAATCAGAGTACCACCATTGAATTAGCTCGTCTTTGTACGGCCACTAATTTTCCATTTTCAGAAAACAGTGGAAGACAGTTTATTACAGAATGTGCCTTCTTCACTTGAGCTTTTATTACTTCAGTTGCTATACACCAAATCTCCTAGCACCATCTCACGGTTCCACATGAAGAGTGTCGGAACAAAGGCCGAGTTCTTCAGTTCATTTTCTTCTGCGGAAGCTTCTCCATCAACTCGGGAATCACCTCGAAAAGATCGCCCACAAGTCCATAGTCAGCCACCTGCAATTTCAGACATGATTAGAGAATTCGACCGCTTCATGACAAAAACCTGTGAGTTTACGCGGTTTCTGACAGTTCAGTGAAGATGGTTCCCAAAACACAATGGTGTAAAGTAGGGCCGGGGAAAAACATCCAAAAATCTGGTATTCATCTACACACGAACGAGTACAGGTATGGCGATGGCGAGAACCCTTACGGATACCCGCATGACAGTTGGATTTTGATGTTTATGAATATCAGATGAAAGTTTCAAAACTCCACAACATTACATGGAGTTTAAGCAAAACCCAGCAGAGTAACCCGAACATTTGGATCCTCCGTGATATCCGAATTCTGGGCACTCAAATGGAACGAGTATGGTGATGGGTTCCAAACCTCAGAATCCGAGAGGTACGGATTCAGAGTCAGATATCCCCAAAATCATAGATATCCGACCCATGTCCAGCCAATAAAAACATGCAACGTAAGCATAATCACCAAATATTAAAGAAAATGACGAGGGGGTGTGGCAAAAACTAGCTGCCTTTGCCCAACGGGACTGCCTTAAGAGTGGACGTAAATGTGATTCAACACATATGCGGGTGTAGGTGCATAACACGCCTGATTTCCTGTGTTTGACATATGAATTCAGAGCAAATTTTCTGTTCTTTCTGTTTGTGAAAAATATGAGCCATGATAGATGATGAGTGATCAACCAGTTTCCCAATGTGTGTAACAATGAGTTAGTATTAGAAGGAGAAGTGTACAATGAATAACCTGGAAAATAGGTGCATCGGCGTCTTTATTAACCGCAACAATGACCTTGGAATCTTTCATGCCAGCTAAATGCTGAATGGCTCCTGAAACGCCGAAAGCCATGTATAGCTCCGGGGCTACGATTTTTCCAGTTTGCCCAACCTGATTCATAACTCAATTAAAAAAACACAGGCAAGTCGAGATTCCATAACAGAAATGGAAATACTAAATTCAGTAAAGAAGTTCATAAGGCCAAACCCAACTCTTGTGATTGTAAGGACAGGAAGAGTGCCCATCTCACTAGGTGAAATGAACACTAGATTGAACCGAAATGGCGGAAGGAAAAAGAAAGAGATCATTACCTGAAGGTCATTAGGAACGAATCCAGCATCAACAGCAGCGCGGGTAGCACCAACTATACAAACAGAAAAAAAAAAGAAAAAGAAAAATGACACGCATTATATGTATATCACGAAGAACGGAAACACTTTCATGGAATGGGAAAGCAGATAGGAAAAAAAAAACTAGAAAAATTTGCTATTCCCACAAGCAGGCTAGACATAGAACAAGTACCGAACCTGCTGCACCAAGTTTTTCTGCAAGCTGTTCTATCATTTTAAAGTTCTCAGCACTCTTCAAGGCTCTTCCTCCAGTGACCACAACACGTGCGCTTCCAAGATCAGGCCTTTCTGTATCTTGAGTTGAATGTCCTACATATCTGGATTTGTTAATGGAGTCTGCAAAATGAAACTAATTCAATGAAAAAGGAGAATACATTCAAAATAGAGTTGTATCATAGAAAAAAAATAAACGGTGAACATAAATTCATAACCAATGTTACCAATCCACTGGAATTCCCGTTACACACACAGATTCAAACAAGAATACATTAAGGAACATTAAAACAGACCTTCTTCAAAGTTTGAGAGATCAACCAGAGAGATAGGAGCTTTCTTGGGCTCTGAATCTGTTGTGGCGGGTGTGACAGGAAAAGACGTCGATCTAATAGTCAACAAACAAGGACTAGCACCAGTATAACGAACTGTACACAGAGCATTTCCAGCATAAATTGGCCTGCCACATATTTGAGCTTTATTTTAATTTACATCTCCGGTAAGTTTAGAAGCATAAGACAAGAATTTCAGAGTACGGTATCCAAAACATTTAGAAGCAGCTATTGGCTCTTACACAACATTAGCAGATATGATGTTTTATCACAACATAATGAAACAAGTCAGAATAGTGATTTTACGGAGTAATACACTAATACCAGGCATATATACCTTACGAACAGATTGGATCCTAAAATTCTGGTGACATCAGTAATCGGAGAAACGTCTAATAGAGCAGCAACACGGGGTAATATGTTTTTGCCGAATGAACTTGAGGCGGCAACAATATGCGAATACTCTCCTCTTTGCTGAACTAGGTTGACCAGTTTAGCCCACGGTTCAGCTAAAGGATATGCGAATTTATCAGAATCAGCTACAAGTACCTACAAGCATCAGCAGTTACAAGGTTTAGTTGCCCAAATTTCCTTAAAAGATGAACCATGAGTCCATGGCAATAACCCTTTTCACTCATTGTGTAATTCAACAAACAAACACAAGGCAAATTAGGGGAACCATCTATGGACATATAACAAGGAGGGGACTTTTCTTGTTTCTTCTCCAAAATCGCAGTCAAACATGTAACAACATCAGATGAAACATGTGATATGGATATGGAATAATGCCTTCACGAGCGAAATGCCACATTTTAAAACTTTGTAAACACTGATACATTCCCCAAATGATAATGCAAAAAGAATTCTTTCAAGATAATTATGGAACTGGCTCTATTTCTTTCTCCTCTATCACCTTCACCGTTAGATCAAACCACCAAATAACGGGATATGGTACCGGAGGAGAAGCCGTTTAGATACCTGGGAAACAGAAGGATGGCAAGAGGCAGCATGAGAAGCGGCGTCTTGGAGAGAAGAACCTGAACCAGCCAGTAGCAAAGAGACTGAATTGCCCTCCCCAAAGGCATTTGCCGCCACTACAGCAGCCACTGTCGGAGGCTTGACAGAACCACCCTCATGTTCTGCTAGAACCAATGTGCTAAGCTACAATAACACCAACCAAACACACCCAGGGATTAAGAATCGAAAGGAATAACAAGCAGCCTAAGTAAATATATCAACACCTTCAACATCAGTATCCACTATGATTATAACAAATACACCAAATGATAAACTGATAACTCAAAAACAAGATCTACACATTGGATAACGGGTTTTGATCAAAATGATACCGAAACCAAGTGATCCAAATCACTAAGCAGAAGAAGTTTCAAATTAGGAACTCCTCAAACCCATGAACAAAAGACCAAAACTGATGATCATTACAAATTATTAAACTTTATTTTCGGGTGAAAATCACAAATTTGAGAGATTATTGCCCAAAGGTCATATCCCATTGGATTCTATCGATCACAGACGCGTATCTAATCTCCACCATTAACACGATCGCTGGGTTTTGCGTGTCGCCATAGCTCTCCGACACGATACTTTCAGATACAACCCAAAAACAGAAGGAACGAAGGAAAATCACACTCTGCGGATGGGTAACGATTCGGAGAAATAACACCAAACAGACAAGAGATTTAGGAGATGATTGAATCAAAATACAGAGATTGAACGATCTCAGATGATTTAAAAAATAAAACTGGGCAAATCCGTTAAATTTCCATGAGAGCTTGAAGAAGAGCTTTGGTTGTAGAGCTTACGAATCGAGAGAGATTGGATATGGAGTGGGGTTGAGGAGCAGTAGAGACATGGAACTGCTTCTTCTTCGTCAAAGTTCTCAGCAGAAAAGCTCTCGTCATGGCTTGTCTTTTGATTAACTCTCTCTTCCCAATCCCGGGATTTGTATGAACGAACTGAAGAAAACGGCGTAGTTTTCTTATATGGATTAAGAGTTCAAATTATTTTAAATCATTTTTCTTAAAATCAAATTATCGGATAATATTTTTTTTAGAATTTTTTTTATTATCGGATTTTTGTTATGGGAAAAAATCACTCGAAACCCACCACGATTTGTATATAATGACGTCACACTAAAAATGGAAAAAAAAATTGTAAAACGGAAATGCAAAATTCTAAAAAAGCTTCTCGATATATGTGATTAGAAAAACAAATTCATAGTAAGGGTAAAAAAAATGTAGTGGAATTAAAATATTTATGTGTATATACAATGCAATATATAATATCCATGCACACACAAAAGAGTTTATCTTTTGGCCACGTCACATTTCCTATTAAAATCTATTTGGTACTTATCCTTTAGTCTATGATCCGCATTCACTCTATTACTTTGAATGTTGCATCTTTCCTTTTTTATTTTTTTTAATTGAATTACCCAATTCGCCTAGGTTAAAATCTGAACAAACCAAATCATAAGTCTCGAATTTCCATAGCATTTTTTAACTAAATAATCATATTTAAATTTTAGTTTATATATGTGCATTCAACTAAAACCGAATCCGATGTTGTTTCGTTTCATTTTTGACATATTTTCCGGATCAGATGAATTTGTGTTTCGAGTTAATTAAACCAGCACTTAACCGGAAAATCTAATTGCACGTACCAACCGGTCACCATGGATCATGTCATGCCGCGTCGGGCCCCAAATCTAACAACGGCCCACTTGCTTGCATCAAAAAGCCGGAAAAAAATATTTTTTTTACGAATCCTTTTTTCTAAAAGAAAAAAAAATAAACATTAATTTTCCTTCATTCGAAGAATAGAAACGCAGAAAGGCTCCATTCGCAGGGGATCACGAAGGTCAGAGAGAAACAGAGCTCATTCTTCGTCTATCCCTCACTCGCTCCACCAGATCTGATCTAGGGTTTTGTGGAGCCCATTCTTCCCTTCCTCTTCAGCCATGGTTTCCACCAACAAGATCAAATCCGTCGATTTCTACAGGTATGTCATTATCGTCCTTACACCCCTCTCGCATTTCCATGCTCTTGTTCCGAATTTCAAGGAGAGAGTTTGATTATGGACTTGATGCATACGACTGCGTGTTCTCTATGTGGTTTGTGTGTAATGGATTATGCGTTTTGACTACTCAAAATCCGTTTGAATCTCGAATTGGCTGCGCATTTTGTGTTAATGGGCTTCGCGATTCATCGTGTGCCTGCATGAAATGGTTGCTATGGATTCTTAGTCGTGATGATGGCTTTTTACCCACTGAGAGTAATGATGATGGTTATGTTGTCTGAGATGGGTTCTACTGTTGTGATTTTTGTGTTGATTGCGATTTTGACTTTCGTGAGTTTTTGTGGTTCTTTAGGAAAATCCCTCGAGATTTGACGGAGGCGTCTCTGTCTGGTGCTGGATTATCCATTGTAGCGGCACTCGCTATGATCTTTTTGTTCGGAATGGTACTCTTCTGTTTTGTGTATTTGATCCTTGGATCCCTCCTGCATATGATCCCCGTTCTGTATCTGTGGATATAATAATCTTTTCGCTCATTGTAATTGTTGTTCATATGCAGTTAGTATCTCTATGATCCTCTTGGCTGATGTTGTCAAGAATTAGTTTTGTGTGGACTGATCAATGACAAGGATCTTGGCTGATATGTTTTGGTCTGTCCGAGTTCTAATGTTTTGATTTTGATGTATGTCTGTGTTGCAGGAGCTGAGCAGTTATTTGGCGATCAGTACTACAACATCTGTAATAGTTGACAAAAGCTCTGATGGGGACTTTTTACGCATTGACTTCAACGTCAGGTAGACATTCTGTTTATAATTAATTACGGGCAAAAATTATGTTTTACAGCATGGATGTCTGAATCTTCTCTGAACTATTAATGGGTCTCATTTCTATTCTGTGTTAACGATAAATTTTAATTATGTTTTGCTGTCACCATTAGTTACAGATTGTGGTAGTTATCTTAATCCTTGGTGATGTTGGGGATGTTGGTCTGCCGTTGGGCCGTTAGTGTATACATTTAGTTGTCGAGTACTGTCCGATTAGCTAAGGAGTTAAAGGAGCTATAGCATTTGTAGTATTCTCAATGCAAAATTAGTATATGACATCAGCTTGCTTGCTCCCTAGTATTTATCTGTTTTCAATGAACATGGATTTATCTATCCATTTCATAAAGATATGGGTCTCTTTCCATATAAAACCGGTTGTTGATTTTTTCTCTCCGGACTCTTTTTCACATGGTTGATTTGTCTGAAGGAATATGAGTTTGTTTTCATGATAATCTAATGGGTTTTTTTTTTTTTACTTTTTTGTAGCTTTCCTGCACTTTCATGTGAATTTGCGTCGGTGGATGTTAGTGACGTGTTGGGAACTGTAAGTTACTGTTGACGACTGTTGTCAATCTTTCTATCTTGATGTTGCCCGTAGAGTAAATTGTCAGATGGATATCAAAGAGAAGCCATAACAGCCTCTTCAGTATAGTCTTTGATTATATGTGACAGTACCCAGCAGGATCGTGGTGATTTTGTTATCCAACAATGAAAAGTAATGCCTTGAAGATTCCGTGTTTAGTACTAGTAGTGTTATTATTAAAGCCAGGTGCTATGTCCCGATCCCAAAATTGTCGTTTCACCTTTATGCACTTAGACAATAGAATTTGATTCCATAGTGTAACGAGTAAATATAGTAAATGAGGAAAAGCTTGCTCTTTGATCTGAACCTTGTATTTCTCTAGCATTCTGGCTTTCTTATTTGTTTTTTTTCTTTTAGAGAGAAGTGCTAAGAAATATGGACTATTAGCAATAGACTATTAGGGAAGAAGCTAGCCTTGGAAGATAAATCTGATAACAATGCATCGACAACTCTTAAGAAGGCACCAGTTACAGGAGGTTGCAGAATCGAAGGATATGTTCGCGTAAAGAAGGTAAATTTCCCAGAAAAACGAGATTGGAAAACCTGGTGAAGTGGTGATCGATTTTATGCAACGTCAATTTTCGCCTAGCGTTCTTTTGAAGGGTGTTTTTGTCCTTTTTCTCTCAGGTTCCGGGAAACCTCGTCATTTCAGCTCGTTCGGGATCTCATTCATTTGATACTTCTCAAATGAACATGTCGCACGTCGTTTCCCATCTCTCTTTCGGGAAAGTGATTTCCCCGAGATTGTTGACTGATATGAGGAGACTGCTGCCTTATCTCGGCCAAAGCCATGACAGGCTTAACGGACGAGCATTCATCAATCAACGAGAGTTAGGTGCCAATGTTACTGTGAGTTCCTTGAACCCCAAGGGAAAGAAAAGAAAAGAAAGAATTTAATCTGCAAACTTTATATTATGTGACTGAAGCTTCATATATATTATCACCTTGTCCACTGGTCACTGTTTTCTCTGTGAAAGTTGATGTCATAATTTATGATAAGAGTTACCGCCTTTCTCTGTATAATCTTAGTGTAATTGGCTGGGCCCTGATTATTGTCTTTAATTTTACAGAACAGGTTGAATATAACAAAAACAATTCGCAAATTTCCAATTGATCCACACTTAAGGGCCACTGGTTCGGAATTTCACTCAGGACCTGTGTTACATGTCATCAACCATGGCGAGGAAACTAATGAAGAGACTGTTGATGGTTCTGTAATGTTAACCGGTGCTAACTTTGAGACGTTTTCACATCAGTAAGTTGGCAGCTTCTGTTGAATTGGACATGCTAAATATGAGTATCATCTGATGGTTGCAAGGAAAATATGCCTTCTTTAGTGGAAATTTATGTGGTTAATACAAATGAACTTTTCTATGCAGCTATCAAATTTTGGTTGTCAATTTTTATGCCCCGTGGTGCTACTGGAGTAATCGCCTGGTAATTCTGTTATTTCATTTTAATGCTTATTTTTAACTCATGCATTGTCGGTCCAAGAGGAGCTGTTTTTTTTCTTTATATTCTTATTTGTACTTATAATATATGCTTCAGTCTACTCGGCTGAACGAGAAAAGCTCTCTCTTATTTCTTTTTCACGAGTTTAATTTGGATATCTGAAACACATTAGACGTGCAATTCTATAGAGAGACATTACGTTGCTTTTACTTTTGTGTATTACGTTTTGTGTTGCTGGGAGATGGGTAGTTGTCTCAAAGCTTATCATTGATGACCTGTTCGTGTTTGGTTTTGACTTGTGTTTCTTTTGTCTCCCTGCTACAACTTTCAGAAACCATCTTGGGAGAAAGCAACAAATATAATAAGACAGAGGTGTGCCTTTTACTCTTTTCATTTTCAGTACACCATGGAAGTTTTAACCTAGCTTTCTGAAATTTTTGTATTCGGAGCATCTTCATGTTCATATTCTGCTGCAGATATAATCCTGAAACTGATGGCCGTGTTCTTCTAGGAAAAGTCGATTGCACAGAAGAATCTGCTCTGTGTAGGAGGTGGTTTCGAGCTAATCTTTCCCATCCTTTTTGTTCCTTCATTTCCGAAAAATTTAGTCTCTTTTGCTCTGGATTGATGCGCTTTTTTCCCTCCAAAAGCTTAATTTCGATTTTACTTCCTGGTGCTCATATCAGTTTCCAGATTAATCTAACACAATTTGCGTAATGTATCTTCAGGAATCATATACAAGGATATCCATCCATTCGGATTTTCCGCAAAGGCAGTGATGTTAGGTGAGATAGTACATGACCAGCTGCATCAATTTACATCTGCTTGGTTGTGATTCTTCACGCCTTCTACTTAACCATGCTTATATTATTGCATGCCCAGATCTTAGTTGCATACTTTTTCCCGATTGTGTCCTCATCTGTGGTTAATACAGTTAGTTACGTTTTTTTCAGTTCTAACCGACAATATTTAATTTACATTTTCTTGATGCTCTAATGCTTAATATGATGTATACACGTGCTGCTTGTATATATGTCAAGTTATTTTTTTACCTCTTAACCGCCGGTTTCATAATAACCGATTCGCTATACAATTCTCCAAACATCGACTCTTTTTTCCCCTATTCGGGTTTCTTCCATGTAAAATTTTCGTAATGGATCGGTTTCATATGTTTCAGGGAGGACCATGGGCACCATGAGCATGAATCTTATTATGGAGATCGTGACACAGAGAGCCTGGTCAAGGTAAACTTATCATTATGTGTTCAACATCATCAGAAATCCATTCATACGAATATCGTCTATGTCCGTGAGTTGTGCGTTTCAAAACGAGTGTCTGATTCTGCGCGATAATGGTATTCTCATGCAAGTTTCTCTGCGAAAGTTCTTCAAAATGGTCATGCAATGAGATTTTGTTTCTTCCAGATGGTAGAAGGACTTGTTGCATCGATTCATGTAGAGTCTCGGAAGCTAGCCTTGGAAGATAAATCTGATAACAATGCATCGACAACTCTTAAGAAGGCACCAGTTACAGGAGGTTGCAGAATCGAAGGATATGTTCGCGTAAAGAAGGTAAATTTCCCAGAAAAACGAGATTGGAAAACCTGGTGAAGTGGTGATCGATTTTATGCAACGTCAATTTTCGCCTAGCGTTCTTTTGAAGGGTGTTTTTGTCCTTTTTCTCTCAGGTTCCGGGAAACCTCGTCATTTCAGCTCGTTCGGGATCTCATTCATTTGATACTTCTCAAATGAACATGTCGCACGTCGTTTCCCATCTCTCTTTCGGGAAAGTGATTTCCCCGAGATTGTTGACTGATATGAGGAGACTGCTGCCTTATCTCGGCCAAAGCCATGACAGGCTTAACGGACGAGCATTCATCAATCAACGAGAGTTAGGTGCCAATGTTACTGTGAGTTCCTTGAACCCCAAGCGCATTTTTTCACGTCTTTAACGCGAGATTAGATTCTCGAACTTAGACCGATCTAGCGAGATGTGATCACATATGGAGATTTTCTAATCTCTCGTAATGTGAAATTCAGATCGAACACTACCTGCAAGTTGTGAAAACAGAGGTTATCACACTGAGATCCGGTCGGGAACAGAAAATGATCGAGGAATACGAATACACAGCTCACAGCAGCGTGGCTCAGACTTTCTACTTACCCGTCGCGAAATTTCACTTCGAGCTCTCTCCCATGCAGGTTTTTTCCGCATTCACGTCGGAAAAAAAAAAAGAGATCAATGCCCATCTCAAACGTCTAAAAACGCTCGATGCTCTGTTTTTTTTTTCGCAGGTGCTAATAACCGAGAACTCAAAGTCCTTCTCGCACTTCATCACAAACGTTTGTGCCATAATCGGTGGCATTTTCACGGTTAGTATCGTTATAACTGTCATTCTTCATCGATTCTCCGACGGATTCCATCCGTGACAATGCTGTTCGGTTTCGGATTTCAGGTTGCGGGAATACTAGATTCGATATTTCACAACACGATCAGGATGATGAAGAAGGTTGAACTCGGGAAAAACATTTGATTGAAAGGTTAGTTTCCGTGAAACTTAAACTATAAACCCATAGAGAAGAGCCTCAATTTTTGGAAAACACATTGAACTGCTACTTTTGGTTGGAAAATATATAAACTCACACCAGAGAATTAGAAGAAACTTTGTTCTTTTTTCTTTGTGGCAAGCATCTCTTCATGCTTCTCTTTTCTCTGTGGCAAGCTTCTCTCGGGTGTGTTGAATAATGTATTTTTTTTTTACAAAATTCTCGTTTAATGCCGAATTTAAAAGATAAAGAATCCGTACAAGCACCTACTAATTGCATTGTATTTACTTTATTTAAGTATCATCTTAAACGAATAATAGTATCTATGCGATGAAATGATTATTCTATGTGCGAACTTGGAATGGGATTTGAGCACGGAGAGGATACAATGTTAGTGGCAAAAATGTGAGATATTATGTTTTCAAAAAGGGAAACTCCAAAAAATATTTTCCTAAAAGTATCTAATTAAAATTTGGATTATCTATAACTCCCAATAACCAGTCATCTTCTATTAATACTTTTAAAATTATTATATTTATTAATTTCTTCATTATAATCCAAATAAAGTATGTTAGCAATAGCATATTAAAAAGTTATTATGAAAAATACATTAAATTGAGGTAAAAAAAAGAAAAATTAAGAAAATCACCGCTTATAAATAATTGAGATTTTGAATATTTTAAAAAATTTTAAGGATTTTGTTCCTTTAAATAAAAAATACATAGGTATTGATTGGTGAAATTATTCTTAGCAACATGATAAACATCCCATAAAGGGTGCATTTTATTCCTTTCCATGAGAACAATAACAATAGTTACAACAACAAAACACGCCAAATTTATAAACAGTCCACCAAAATGAAAAAATAATAATAATAAAACATCATTCACACAACAAAAGCATAAGCAGAAGAAAATAAAAACCAAGGAACAAGCGTTAGAAAGGTACAACAGCAGAGCTTACCATAGCAACTCCAAGAAGAGATCCAATGGAGGTGAGGAACAGAGAGTAAGGACCCGAAAACGAAGATGCTGCCGCGTTTTTAGGCGACTCGGGGGTCGGAGGAGGCGTCGGGGTGATCTCGACTGTTCCGGGAGCGGGCGGAGAAGGCTCTATTGCACCCGAGGGAGCGGTCCCTGGAGTTGAAGGAGACGGAGAAGGAGAAACAGGTGTACTCTTAGTTCTATCTGCCATTACAATCACTAAGATCTTCTCGTTCTTTTGGCAATTCTCTTTGCTTCCGCTGATGAAGTAGTAAGGTCCCGAGTTATTGAACGCGAAGGATGTGTGCCCGTCGGTGAATTTCGCGATGGGGGAGTTCGGGTTGCAGGCATTGTAGTCGTCCTTTGTTACTTGGAGCACTGAGTCTTGGTTCGGTGAGTAAACAAACACTGAGAGTAATAAAATTGGGAGTTAATGTTTCTATCGCGGACGCGGAATATGCATTGTGATGAGAAGAAACGTGAACGAAACTGATTAGAAATCGATATAAACCCGATTGAATATTTGGTATATACGGATTTTTCATTGCGTGATCATGAATCCGAACGAGGACTTTCGGAAAATGTGTGTGAGCTGTCCCGAGAAATGTTTCTTGACGATGAAGCGAACTAAGTTTTAACCTATTTACCGAATGGGACAGTGTGTGAGAACTTACTTAGAGAGTCGCCGATCTGAAAGCGGTTGTGCTCGGCCCACTGATTGAACATCTGAGAATCCGAGGGAACGGTCCAACCCTTCGATCCTCCGACCATGAACTCCCGAGCACAAGCCCTTTGAACAATCACGAAAAGACACAAGAGGCCAAACCCACAGATCGTGTTCTTCTGTTGAACTCTGGCCATTTTGGGCTGATCAAAGAAGAAGAAGAAGAAGCTGACCAATGGAGATATTTGAGTGTTTGTTTTCGGGTTTTTGAGATGAAGGGAGAGATGGTGCGGATAGGGTTTATATGGAAGCCATGGGAGATGTGGCAGTGAAGCTTTTTAATGGCTTTTTTCTTTTTTGCAGATTCTGAGTTTCTTTTTCTTGATTTCTTGAGAACTAAAGCAAAGCATAAACGCGAGAGAGAGTTCATCACCGTTTTGCTTTTGGAATCTTCAGTGACTTGCTTCCTTCATGGTTTTTTGTTCTTTTCGTCTCCAATCTGGAATTTATTTTCAATATTTTTCCTGTTTTTGTTTTTTCACATTTGATTTATTACGTCTATATTTTTAGTCCTTTGTTTATCCTTGGTGATAAAGACAAAATATCATCGTAAATGTTTTTTTTTTGTTAATACATATATATATATTGCCCAACTAAAGAGTTAGATATTCAAATATAATTTTAGAAAGAAAAAAAAAATTCTTTTGTTTTCGGCAAATGTATATCAAGAACATGACGCAAGAAAGGTATATTAACATTAACACTCAAACCTAGATTTGTTATGATTGATGAAATGAAATCTAACATATTTAAAATTTGTGATCTACACGTTTTTAATTAAAACTTGCTCCCACGAAATAACGTAGATCCTAATCGCTTAAAAACATAACTTACTAAATTTCCCATTGCACGTCTCAATGGTTATAACATTCCTATATATATATTTGGAGCGCGTCCATGAAATTAATGATCATTGGATTTTGTCGTAAACCGGTTCCAATTTATTTCTTCATGTCGGGTTTAACTTTGAATTGATCGCTTCCGTTATGTTTTCTCACCGCCCCGGTTCCAAATTAATTAACCGTTTGGTTATGAGTTTTCATAAACCAAAATAACCGAACCCGAAATAACCATAATCGATTAACCCGAAACCGATCGTTCGCCCACCCCTACCCTAGAACAAGGTCTAAGATAGGTGCGATTGGCCCGTCAGTAATCTCACTCATCACCCAAAATAAAATGGAAACGAAGCGAACTTAATTTATCTTTTAATTTTGTTTATTTTGAATCAATATTGTTAAATCGAAAAAAAAAACAAGATGGAAAAACAGAAAATGATATTTATTTAAAGAAAAAAAATCATATTTTATATCATTAAAACAGAGCAAAAAAAACAAACTCCAACCAAATGATTCCTACTTCTGTTTACATTCTTCTCCAAACCGAAGAAAACCGAAATCGAAACAGCGGTTTGACTATTATTTTAATGTTACATAAAAAATCAAATAATTGCGAGTTTGGGCTTAAGGCAAGCCTTGAAAAAAAAACAAGGCCTATAACAAAATAAATTAATGAAGGCCTAATAACAAAATATTTCAATAAACTGAAAACTTGTATATATCTTCTTTGAAGGAAAAAAAAAAAAAGCCGTGCCTTTTTTTAGTGTGGTATTCTTTTAGAATTCAGAAAAAAAAATGATGAAGTTGTTAAAATTTTCATCTTGTCCATTTAAACTTATCTATTCTATATTTTTTTTTGTTTATGATATGAATTTATAAACAATGTTCAGATAAGCATATGATTTGTTTCTTCTTTGTTAATGTTGTAAACAGTATCAAGCGAATATTAAATATCTAGAAGATCTCAAGCAAAAATAAAATAGGTCAATGTGAAGAAATGGAAGGAACAATCAGTAAGGGAATGACTTGCAAAAGAAAATAAAACATGCCATCGAAAAAAATGGAAAGATCAAGTAAAAGGAATAAACTTCAAGAAAAAGGAAAAGAAGATATTGAGCAAAATATTGGAAACAAGAAGAGGAGTTATGCATAAATACAAGACGTGTGAGCTACAGAAAGACATCCCAGCAGAACAGAAAAAGAGAGCAAAGAGCAAACGAGCTGGAGAATAATAGGTGTGGGAAACACGGGTGAGTGATATTTGAGAGAGAGTGAAGTGCATCTGAGGGGAGCCTTCAAAAATAGGCGAACCACTCAAAGGGTCTAGACGAGTCTAGGGTTACACGGGGTGTGCGAGGCACACATAGTGTATGGGCTGATAGAATTCATGTTGTAAAGGGGGAACAAACTCAGGGGGAGTTGTGTTCTTGGGATGGATTAGGCTCGAACAAAAAAGAGTTGTAATTCATGTTCTTTACAAATGAATAGAATCAGTTGGAAAGTTTTTGAAAGCAATATCGTGTGAGTTTACTTTTTCAATTGGTATCAGAGCAGGGGTCACTGATCGTAGGAATTTTTTCCTCTCATATCGGTGTACGATTCAGTCTCACACGATGGGTGAATACAAGGAGATGCAAGCACTAAGGAAGCATGCAATATTTGACTCAACTAATTATGGGCATACCGAGATGGAGTACAAAAAATCACTTGTCACCCATGAGCAGGAGGAAACCGAGTTGGACAACGACGATGAAGAAGTTTCTTACTCTGTTGCATTCTTTGGAATCATTGAAGACAGAGAAGAAACACTGGAAGATGATTCAAGTGATGATGAAGAAATAATTGAGGATGACTTATACAAAGAAATGACGAAACTAGTTCGAATGAACATATATTTGTTGGATGAGAAGAAGCGGTTGGAGAAGGAACTTAGAAATACTCGGATCCAACTGACATCTACTCAACATCAACTGTCCCAAAAAGAAAAAGAAGCGTCGCTCATGAGATGTCAGATTGAAGAGACCAAGAAAAATCTTCATCTTCTTGGAAGTGGAACTAGTAAGTTGGATCATCTACTTGGACAGGGAAGGAGTGCGCGAGATCGATCGGGGCTTGGATATGCGGGAAAGGAGCAATATCACCCAACATTTGTGTCTGGAGGAAATCTTGAACGAGAAGTACCTGACTTGGTACGAAGTACTTTTGGTACTGTCAGAAATACCCCAAGAGCTAAAGTGGATCTGCCAATCTCTCAGAAGCAAAAAGAGCATAGAAACTGCTATTACTGTGGGAAGAGATGACATATTCGAAGGAATTCCTATTATCTACGACAGAAAAGGAACTCTAATTGGTATGTTCATTCGAACTTGAATCACTCTTATATGTCTCATCCTTCGAAGAATCTTAGGTGGATTCGTAAATCCGATGTGTCATGCAATGTTTCATGTATGTCTAAACAAACGAGTGGAGATGGTGTCTGGTATTTGGATAGCGGGTGTTCAAGACACATGACAGGACGTCATAAGCTGTTGACAGATTTTGAAGTAGGTTTGACAAGTGACGATGTCACATTCGGAGATGGAAAACAAGGGAAGATCATTGGTAAAGGAACTCTGGAATGTGGTGGAGTATCCAAGCTGACGGATGTCAAGGTCGTACATGGCTTAAAAGCTAATTTGATCAGCATAAGTCAACTATGTGATAATGGCATGGAGTTCGTTCACAAAGGATGCATGCTGGGTGACCAATACAGAAAACACGTGTATTTTAAGTGGGCAAAGGACATCAAGCAATTGCTACACATGGATTGATAGCCAAAGTTTCAGAAATTCTGCCAAGGATTCTAAGACACAGACCTGGAATTGAGCAATCAAAAGCTCAGATATGATTTTGAATTTATGCTCATACACAGGGGGAGAAATGGCTCGGAAGGTATATGGCCATACACCTAGGGGGAGAAATGATACAAGAGGAGAAGGATCAGAAAGGTGTACGGTTGAAGATGCGGAGCGAATATGCATGGTTGAAGTCGTTGAGGACGATATCGAGAAGCAAAGTGGATGAATGTGTGTTCAAGTATAAGTCTGTATAAGCATAAAGTCAAAAAGGGGGAGAATGTTAATGTTGTAAAGAGTATCAAGCGAAGATTCAATATCTAGAAGATCTCAAGCAAAAACGAAACAGGTCAATGTGAAGAAATGGAAGGAACAATCAGTATGGGAATGACTTGCAAGAGAAAATGAAACATGCCATTGAAAAAAAATGGAAAGATCAAGCAAAAGGAATAAACTTCAAGAAAAAGGAAAAGAAGATATTGAACAAAATATTGGAAACAAGAAGAGGAGTTATGCATAAATACAATACGTGTGAGCTACAGAAAGACATCCCAGCAGAACAGACACTACAAAAAAAACCCCAAATTTCAACCGGCAAATCCGTTGGAAATGGCCGAAAATCCGTTGGAATTCGACTTTTCCAACGGATTTCCAACGGATATATCCGTTGGAAATCAGTCGTTAGAAATGCAGATCCGTTGGAATTCCGTGGCAAATTCTAAACGGAATTTCAACGCCTTCATCCGTTGGAATATTTCAATGGATTTCCAACGGTTCTTCCGTGGTATATTTTCAACGGAATTCCAACGGATTTGTTCGTCGGAATATATCAACGGAAATTCCAACGGACATCCGTGACTAGTTTCCGACGGG